GGTGTTTCACATATTTGTTTGGTTGGTGCTCATTAGCAGGCTCTGATGGCGCTGACATCAGTTGCCCGCAGCAAGACTGAACGATTTTCTCTTATTAAAACAAACTTTTGGTACACGTTGAAAGAATTTCATCAGAATTCTTATTTTGCAGAGAATTTTAGCTTTGTGTGGAAATCCAGAATAAATATCAGTGCTGTTTGTAGTCTGAAAACCAGTATGTGCCCAGCCCTGGTGTATCTGTTCCTTTATAGAACAACATTCCCATGGCATTGTCCAGCAGTGCTGTAGCCAGATCTAATGCAGAGATGCATTAATTAGCTACAGCATAAACCCCAGTGACCCAAATTTGTGTGGCAAATAAATGCACAGCTTAAAAGTGGATGGATCTGCCACGTAGTTTCAATGCAATAGAGCATATGGAGTGGGATCACCCTGGCTTTATTTCTGCTGTAGATGTAATACACCCCCAGCTCTGGGGAGCCCCTGTGGGACGTGTACCAGGTTGGGCTCACAGGGCAGGGTATCACAAACAATTTCTTCTCCAAAAGAGCACCTGGAGGCGTCCCATAGCAATGGGGATGTGCCACAGAGGGATGTGCTGATGGGCATGGAGCTGTGGGTGGGGTGGGCATCTGTGAGGGCTTTTCCAACCTGAATGATTCTATGGTTCTGTGGCTCTATGACATGGGGTGGCTGCGGTGCTGCTGGTGGGAGCGGCCCCATGGCTGCCCCTGCTGCAGGGATGGTCACAGGCAGACTGGGGACAGGTGGGCTAGGTCCATAGGGCTGTGCTGCACAGGGATGGGGCGTTAATCCCACGGCTGAAGTGTGCCTGATGCTTTATTTGTTAGAAAAGAACATATTTCCACTTCTTGCTTCTCTGAAGAAAAAGAAAAAAAAAAGAAAAAAGAGTGAGCAAAAAACCTCTTAGTCTCATTAAAGGCAAATGTTCCCACTTAGGAAAAACGGAGGGTTTTTCACCCAGCAGTCACAGGAAGCAGCAGCCAGCCGCAGTGCCTGCATGGCCCCCCAGCCCTGCTCTGCCTCCCAGTGCGCCCCCCCAGCACCCCCAGCTCTGGGACAGGGGCAGGAATGAAGGCAGCTCCGGAGTGCTGGTTAGAACCTACCTCTCTAGGGCATAAAAATAAGCATTGTTTTAAAAAGCAAACAAGCAAACACATGTTCAGCCTGGTTAAATGCAAGCTCCCCACGTTGTTATTTATTGTTTCTGCTAAAGCAACGTTCAGGGGCATCTTTGAGATTGAAAGGGTTCCCTGTGTTGAGCTTTGTAGCAGCGCAGAGCAAGAGACAGCTTTTGCTGGAGATCAGACACAGCAAATAAGAGTAACGAGAAAGAATGAAGGGTGGGAAGACAAAGGAAGCAGCAACAGGGCGGTGTGTTTGCTCACGCCAGCTATGTACACATCAAGAGGGGCTTGAACGTCTGCTGGTTTAGCAGCTTTGAAACTTCCCTGTAAATCCGGCTTTGAGCAAGAATAAAATGGAAATAAATAAAAGGGTTTCAATTAAAACAGCTTTACCACTCCCCTCCTTAGCATTTCTATCCAAGAGCTCTCTGCAGGCAGGAATATTTCTGCTGCGTGCCTCGTACCCGCATACTAATGCAGCCGTGCTGTGAAACCAAGAAGTGACACCACCTCTAATTTCACTCTGAAGTGTGATGATGGTCAGAAGCGATTCTGCAAGAGGGGAAAGAAGCACTGCTGGCTACAAAAGCTCCCTGCAGTGCTGCTGGGTGCTGGTGTGTCCTGATCACAGCCTGCAGTGGCACTGCTGTGCTCGGCCCATGCTCGGGTCCATGTCTGACCATGGAGCAGTTCAGTTGCTCCCCCTCTCATCCCATTGTATGAAAAACAAACAAACCAACCCAGAATCATTGTGGTTGTTTTATTTCCTTGCTTCTGCCTCATGGCTGGTGAATGCTTTCCAGAGCACAGCGGAAGAGATTTCTTTCTGGGACTGTCCCTGGTGCAGAGAGGGTGCTCAGCCAGCATATGGCCCATGGGGATCTGCCTATGGGCTCCTATTGAAGTCTGCCCCCGATGCAGGCCTTTCCTTCCTATCAGTGACTCAGCAGCCCATGAATGCCCTTTTGGCCCCTCCTTGCATGGAAGCAGAGCTATGCACTACGTCAGCCTTTCTCCAGCACTTATCCTCACCTCTCAGGCACAGTTTCTGACTCAGAGCCCAGCCTGGGGCTGCGTTTCCCTCCATAGCTCCCAGGTGTGACCTTGCTTCTCCACCCGCATCCAGGCTGTTATCTCCTCATGACTTGGTTCTTGACACATCCTTTTCTCAAGCCGTAACAAATGTGAGGGCAGCCTGCTAATATCCATCCAGAAGGCTGTTACTGAGATAATTCTTCTGGCCCCTCGCTGGGACTGCAGCCAACCATAGCTTTCCTCTTCCTCACTGAGCGCACCTTTTCACTCCCATCCCCAAAGGTGTTTGTCTTCATCTATCAGACCCTCCGAGCGCCAGCTTCTCCCATCACTCTCTCAGTCAGAACTGCAGGGTCAGCTCTGCCTCTTTCCAACCTGTGATAACTGGCTTTTATCATGCACTACCTGCAGTTTCAAACAGATCTGCGTTTCTTCATCTTTCCTTGGATGGGGAACGCTCCTGGAGATATCTGATGGTGCTCCCCCAGCTCCCTCACTAACAGCCGCTCAGCAGTGCCGTGTGGGTGTGGATCTGCCTGGATGCTGTAGCTATGGGATCAGAGCTGGACCCTCCCTGGCCCCCTCCAGGTTCCCTCCACGTCCTCTCCTGGTCCCCTCCTTCTTCCTGCCCTGTGCTCACACTGAAGGAATCCAAGGACATTGGCCTTTTGCTTTGGGCATCCCCTGGGACAGAGCTCCCTCAGTACATGTGATGGAGATGCGTGTTGTGATCACACAGATAATACTGATAATAATTAATACAACACTCTGGGAAACAGCGGGGAAATTACAGTGCTTGGTAGTGAGGGTTTGGTTTGGAGAATGTCGTCCCAGACAACAGAACAGGCACTCAGATGTAGCTGTGTTCACATCTCCAGTGCTATCTGTGTGGTGAATGTGGCCACGTCATCCAGCTCAGCATTGCTGCAGGACAGCTTTGCACCTCTTGGTGCTGTGTGGCAGTGGATGCCTGCAGCAGAGCTCGGTGCCTGTGCAGAAGGACAGTGACACATGTGAGGCTGTGGGCTTTGAGGCAGAGCACAGAGCCTTCCCATGCCCAGTGCCCTGACAGCCATAAGCGCTGAGCAGTGACTTCTTCTAGACTGCCTTTTTATCAAGGGAGTTGTGTGCACTCTTATATCTTGAGGACGCTTCTCCAGGAAGGGCAATATGGAAAAAATGTCCTTCTCTTTACCAGGATCTGGATCCAGGACAGTCCATAGAGCAGCTGTTTCTAAAAGCAGTGACCTGAACACACCAACCTCCAGGTCTCACAGCACACACAGGGAGGCAGGAGCTCAGTTCTGCCCTGCGCTGCCATTCTGGGGCTGCACCCAGCAGAGCCCTGGATCCTATGGGGTCCTGGCAGAGGACAATGGGTTCCAGACCACATCAGGCCCTTCCATGCACAGCAGAGCCCAGCGCAGCACACCCTTCCTCAGGGCATATCCCAAGCAGTGTTTCAATGGATACAGACGTCCTTTGGATACTCTACTGCTGCTCTCTGAGTTCTGAAGCTTTCATACACTGAAGCTTTCCTGATCCCAGATTATCTCACTCAGTGATCTGCCTCTCTCACTGTGAGCAGGGATCCTGTGTACTCAAGGAAGGACTGCTGCCTGTCCTTGTCAGACAAGGGAAGCCCCAGCTAAACAGGATTAGAGAGAGCTCTGAAACACTGGCTATAGGAAGCCTGATGGAAAGCAGAGTCGTAAAAGCTCAACACACACCGATGCGTATGCAGAGCATCCTCACCCAGTGTTCTTCAGGCTGGAGAAGGGCTGATGTAAATGGAAAAGCCGTGGGAATTAGCACAAGGAACCCAAGGGCACAGCCTGCTGCTCTCCTGCAGAGCACAGCACTGTATTCCCTGAGCCACCCATTGATTTCCCCAGGACTCTCCCTGGAGTAAGTCATTGCTAAGTATGAATAATTGGTCTGGCATGCAGCCTTCGGGGCACGGGTGATGGATGGACTTTAACTTTCACAAGTGAGACGAGACCCAGACTGGCTGAAATGAGAAAGGTGCCGACTTTCCTCCCTCACCTGCAATTGAAATGGAAATGAAACCGTTTTCGAGATAATGCAGCCAGCTTCATTCTCATTTCTACTACACACTCTGTCTGCACAGTGCATGCACCCTGCACACATTTCAGGCATCTGCCTCATAGGAAACATTCCCAATTATCTGCTCTCTCTGCCTGCCCCATTCCTCACAATATGACTCTCTCAGACGGTTACAGGAGCTGCTCCAGAGGAAGTCAGAGCATTTTCAGAGGGATGCTTTTTCCTCAAAACCTGCTGTAGGACTGGGCTGAGCTCCCGGGGCTTTAGATCCACCTAACATCATCATGAAACCCTCCAGCGTGCACTGAATCAGAAAGGCCTGCAAAGCATCTACCCCACCCCACACCCCATCCGAAGGCACTTCTTCATCTCCCTGGAGAAAACGACACTGAGGAAGAAAGGATGAAAACCAAGAGATCAAAAACCAGGGGAGAGGTTGGGAAGCACTTGGATCTCAGCGGTGTTCATTGGCTGACACCCATGGGAGCACACCAGGTGCCTCAGCCAGAGCATCATGGCTTTGGAACAGTGCAACCGAGTCGTTGGATGCCTTATAGCATGCTGGAACTTACTGAACGATGAAGCTGAGTGAGACACTTTGGCTTCATTGAAGCAAAATATTTAGAGAAGGCTTTTCAGGGTTTATGCTTGGAGTTTGGAATTCTTATTTCACTGGAAATTTGGAGCTGCTAACATTGTTGTTCAAATATGGGATGAAAGAAAGCTCTGCAACAGTGATATTTTTGGCAGAATGGGAATTCTGTGTTGCAGCCAGCCCTAATAGTCTTGTCTTATTTTCCTCCAAATAGAAGATATATGAGAAACCTTTTAGCTTTCCCTAGGAAAGCTAGAACAAATTGTCTAGCCTATGTTTTCAGAGCTTAATTAGTGGAAAGACGATTCAGTTGACTCCCAAAACCTTTCAGCACCTGAAGGGAACACCTCCTGTCTGATGGTGGGGCAGCTCCAAGGGACACTCAGCTCCCAGGTGGCTGCAGGGCACCCTGGGCACGTTGGCATTCTGCACTCTGGTTGCTGTCTCTGGAAGTGTGGTCCATCAGAAGCTGGTTTAGATGGATCATAAGGCACATCTGATCAAGGGTAATGTTACTGGTAGCAGTATCTCCATTAGATTCAGCCCTTGAGTATGCCTGAGTTTTTTGTTTTTATTATTTTTGGCAGAATTTGCTCATTGTCAAATTTCCCTTCCCACACCTCTTCTGCACTGGTTTCTTGTAGCAGCCTGGACCCAATACTTTGAGCTGCGTAACTGAAATGATGGGAAGAGTTACAGTGAGTTGCAAACCCAGCAGGAGAGATGGGCACAGAGGGCAGTTGTGGCACAGGAGCCATCATCCAGCAGCTTCCAGCTGTGCCACAGCCTCTGCGGGTGGAGGTGGGTGGAGAAAGCTGAGCATCATCCTCTGTACCACACAGGGTGTCAGAAAGAAGGGCATTTCCCCTCCCCCTCACCCAACCTGTGATGCTCTGTGACTGCTGCAGCACTACATGGGAACTCAGGTGGGAGGAGGGAGGTGGAGTTGGGAGCTGCAGGGATGGGATCCAGGTGTGGCAGGGGTAGTTTTCCTTCTCTCCCAAGGAAACATTTGTCCCAATGAGCTCATGCACATCCTCATTTTTGGAAGTTCTGCAGTGACATACATCTCCATAAATAACAACGACCTGAGCTCAGCTCCTTCGTCTTAGTGGCTGCTGAATCAATACCCCAGTCTCCAGTTAATGAAGGCAGGAGCTGAATTAAAGGCAGACCCCGTGAGACCAGGAGGAAGGGGGTGCTGGAGAAAGGAGCAGCCTGCCTCAGCCAGCAGTTGCACACCAGCAGCAATAACAGCGACCAATGCCTTTGTGGGTCTCCACAGGTGACTGATGTCACCCATCAGCATCACTGGGGACAGGCACAGCCAGCAGATGCAAATCAGAGCAGCGAGGGCCCCCCTGTTCCTGTGTGGTAATAATGACAAAGAATCTCCGACTAAATCATGAACGATGCTGTCTGCATGTGGTCTGAAGAGCTTTGTCCCTACAGGTCCCTGCTGGATGGGCTGGCAGAATGAATAATGAAGTAGTTGGCTATAATCAAAGCAAAGAGGAACATCCTGCATCTAGATCAAGACTAAAAGGCAGTGGGAGGGTGACAAAGAGAGATGGCATGTGACAGACAGACCTCCTTCCTTTCTCTAATGAGCTTTCATAATTAGCTTGAGGTGATTTCACAGAATTCTCTGTCACAGCTCCTTTGCCCTTCTGGAAAGCTGCAGGACAACAGCAGCATTGGGGACAGTTGTACCTGAGGCTGTGACCTGGAGCCAGGCGGGTGTTCCGGGCTCAACACGGGTTTGTCTGAGAGCCACATGTACTGCCAGCAGAGGTAAATAAAGCGCGCAGGAGAAAATTCTTCATGACGTGGGAAGAGAAGAATGCGTAAAGTTATTCTGTTCTTTGATGAAGGCAAGGCTAAGCCAGCAGTTAGAATCAAGAACATCATTTCTCTAATCCACATGGCTAATAAACGTGGATAGCTTTTCTGAAACCACTTGACAAAATACAATTACAGCCTGTTGCAGAGCTGCCTGCAAGAGAAACCACTTTGGGTGCCAACTGCTTTCACCAAAAGAGCCCAAGGCTGCGTGGAGCTGCTGTGATGGGGACTTGAGGAGGCTGTCTCCCTCATATCCTGCTAGCCAGGGGCTGACCCAGGTCAGATGGGCGCCTCGTCCCATGCTGGGGTTTGGTTTGCCCTGTGATCCTCAGAGAGCAACAGGGCTGGGCAGGACTCTGCACTGGGGTGCACAGAGGTGAGCTGCAAAGGCAGAGCTCACTTTGGGCTTCTATTTCAGAGTAAACAAGCAGTTTTGAGCTTAAAAACATGCTTTCACTTGCTCCTTCATTCTGGTCTGTTTCAGGGTCTAAGCACAATGCTACAGCACACTGCCCTGGGGGGTTTGCTCCTGTTGCAGTTTCAGCCTGGGTTAGAGGTACAGTGTTGGTGGTGACCATCACTACTTGAAGCAATTCCCCACTTCCTTTTTGTGTCCTGTTTAAGGCATAGTGGAGAAGTTGACTCCCAGGGCTCTGAGCTCAACCATGCCTTAAAAATGAAGGAATCAGGCCAGCAAATATCACCCATTCCCTTTGGCAAATGTAGGTCACAAGGCATGGGCCATTGCACAGGAGGAGGAGCGCTCAAACCGCAGGAGCCCCTGGGCTCTGCTGCCTGCTTGTTGCTGCTCCACAGGGAGGAAGCTGGGAAAGCAGCAGGTAGCCCAGTCCTTTTCCACCCTTTGGAATAAACATAAACTGAGCCCATATTGTGCATCAAAGCTGTGTGGTTCAGGAATTTGAGTTCAAGATGCTCTGCCCTCCCTGGTGTTAATGGGTAGCAGGTTGCCCAGAGATATCTCACATCACATCTGGTGCAATGGGACAGGCAGACCTGCAGGAGCCCAGGGGCCACCAGAGCACACTGCTGCCCCAGGGAGCTCAGGTGTGTGCTCTGAATCCATCTCACCCCATTTCTCTGCTTAGACCTGAATACCAGCAGCTTCCAGAGCACATCACCTGTGACTTGGGTCCTCCTATGTGATATTGCATCCTGCAGTGCTCTCATAAGGGAAGTTCTCTCTGAAAGGGAGAAATGTGCCCTTAAAGGAGCTGGGGAGAGCAGCATGAGCAGGGCCATGGGGATGGCCAGCTGTCAGCTATTCCTGCCAAGGGATATTCACACATCTGCTGCTCGCTGCAGCTTTTTTTCCCCCTAGGCTTTAAAAAGTGACACTTTTAGAGATATCCAAGGAGATCAGCCATGCTTTCTTCTGGAAAAGAAAAATAATTTAAAAACACTGGGTGAACCAACAGGGTGCAGGGACACGTCTCCCATCACCAGAGAAGGACTCACCAGGTGTGCAATGGGTGAGCATTCACACACAGCTCTCCCCTTTCCAAGCCCATCTCTCTCTATCCTTACCCCAACCTCATGAGATTTCATGCTGAAGTTATGGCAGCTGAATCATCCTTGATGCAATCTGCTGGGAAGTACAGCAGAGATGAATCCATAGCGATGGGTGCTCTGATTCTTGCTCAAAGAAACAGACAGCATTCTTGCCCTTCCACACATGAAGGATGGTCTTGCTTCCAGATGGAGCTCACAAAGCCCCAGTGAACAGAAGGAACGTCCACTGGTAGCCTTGTAGGCCAAACAGTTATTTTGTTAGAGGAAACACTTAAAACTAAAACTTTGCAGAATTTCCCCTGAGGTTACAGTGTTTGTTTAGGCTTCCTCAACCAAAGAATCTCAATCAGCAGAGCTGCGAGCCTCCCACACACATTCATTCCTCACACATCCCAGGCACAGGCCATCCTCAAAGTTTATACAGCAAACAACAACAGAAGAAGAGCTGCTCCCCCCATATATCACAGCCTGGAGGCTGAGTGGAGGCGAGGGAGAGGAACGGGATCAGAGCTGCATGGGGGGGAACAGGGAGAGGGCACAGAGCCCTGCTGCTGCTGCTGCTGCCCTGGTGGGAGAGGGACCGGTGAAACAAAGTATTAACTCCAACCTCACACTTTTCTACCTAAAAGTAACACGTTATCAGGGCACAGAGGCTGCAGCGAGCCCCAGCTTATCACACCAGAGGGAAAGCTGAGGATGGGCATCTGAGAGTGACAGAGGCCAACTTTGAACCATGCCTGGCAATTGCTGTGTTAGAGTCGGTGCTACAGCTGAAAAGATTATCTTGATGAAAATGGGAAAAGAAACAAACAAGGAAGGAATGCTCACCTGCATCCAAAGATCTTAGCTCACAGGAAAGACTCCACAGAGAAGGCACCTCCAGAAGGAGATCCTGCCCCAGCAGCAGTCAGCCCTTAAATGGGGTTTAGAAGGGGTGCAGCCAGGCTCCATCCCTTCCGGTCACACCACTGAATTGCCTTCACCTGTGCTCCCAGGGCTGAGCAGTCCTTTCCTCAGGTGATCAATCAGTGGTTCAGGCCATGACTCAACATTTCCCATACAGCCTGTAAGCTATAAAGGGCTTTTTGGAGACAGAGGGATCTGAGGGTGACATTTGGACCTCAGGATCGGTCTGGAGAAAGTGGTATTGATTTTGAATCAAGTTGTGGCTGTGCCAGTGCAATTTGCACTCGTACAACATTAATGATAATCCAAAGTTAATTTCGGGTTCCCTCCCAGCACTGCTGGAAATGCTCCCTCCATCAGGCAGTGGTGCACTGACAGTGCTGCACAACGGACCCAGAATTTCCCAGAGGTGTTTGCACCCCCAGGGCACTGCCTGCCCCAGCTGCAGGCTCCCAGCTGGGCTTGGGATGCTGCTCCTCGCTCTGCTCCTCGCTGCTGGTAAAGGCTGCAGGCAAGTCAGGGCTAGGAGAGCAATCAATTGTTCATTAATGGAGTTACGGTAAAGATGTTATCCAAAACCACCGTGGCTGCCTAATTATTCATAACATCCCTCTGGAGATTCTCCTTTTGGCAAACTGTGAATCTGCTGCTTTGTTGTCATAATAATAGCAGTTGCAGGGCTTTAAATGAGAGGGTACAAATTACTGCGCAGCCACTGACAATATGGCAACTACTGAGTATTGGATTACATGGCAATTTCCATGAAATATCCAGGTTATTACGTAGTAAGTGCCATGTCATTACCGGCTAAATGAATGATTATCACCCCTGCTTGACAAATCCACCTGACAAGTTTTGCCTCCCAATCAGATGCAGGATGTCCGCGGTCGGAGCTGTGCTCCCAGGAGAGCAGTGCCAGGGGTGGATGCTCTGTTCCATCCCCAGCTCTGCCACATCCCACCTGCGGGACTGCGCTGCGTGCTCCAGGCATGAAGCACTGAGGGCAGCCTGAGAACGCTTTACAAATCTCCTTCTGGTGAAAGCAGTTTGAATGCTCCCAAAAAGGGAGCTTGAGAGCTCGAGTGCAGCTGGAGGGGCTGTTTAAAACTTTGGAGCTAATCCTGCAGAAAATTATTTGCAGTCTCCTCTCAGCTTTATCATTTCTGTCTTGAATATTACGAGGCGAGTGCACATCAGTTCTGCACATGCTCTTGCTGCTGACTGACAACTTTGTGCTGTGTATAACCTAAGGCCACTTGGAACTGCCACTGACCTGATCCAGTTTTCAAACACTTTTGGATTAGCCTGCGTGAGGCTTGATCAGATCTGGTGGATTTAGGGAGCAGGCAGACATTAGTGCAGGACATGGACTCAGCTGTTTGTGTAGCTCAGATCTTGAGAATGTTCTGGATCTTTCTATGGAAAGATCTATAGAAAACTGCATCTGATCTTTACGTCTTTCTCTAGAAATCTCAAGACCATGCTTGCAATGTTTGAAATGCGTCCAGCATGAATAGGAAGGGATGCACAGCACTCAGCATAGCTTCCTAGATACAGAGCTTCACAGTGATCAACAAATACTGAAACAACAAACACAGAGATTCAGGGGAGGTCTGGAACACAAATGGAAAATGTTCAGCCTTCCTCCAGCACAATAATTGGAATGGCTCTGGGAGCAGCCCGAGGCACGGCAGAGCGATGCAGCAGCAGCTCCTGCAGTGGCTCAGGGCCGTATGGAGCCATGCAGCCCCGCAGTGCTGGGCTGTGTTCCTTCGTGTGCACTGTGTCCTCGTGGGCACTCAAACACTGGCTCTGAAGCTGCAGGTCTCCCCACAGCCTGCTCATAATGCTCTGCCCTCCTCTGCCCCTCCTGCTGGGAACTGGCCATCCGCATCAAGCAGAGCAAGTGTTTCTCCAACTTTCTGTCCCAGGCAGACTTCAGAGGTAAAAGGAACCTCTCTTAGATACTGCCAAAACCCCATGAGCACCGAGTGCTGCTTTCGTATACGGATCACAGGCTGAGGGGGTTCTTTAGCAGGATGTCTGTGTCTCCATTCTGTCCTCTGTTCAGGCACTTATGTGCAAACCTGCTTTAGTTTGGTCCTGCGGAACAAAGCTTCAGAAGCCCCAGGAACCTCCTGTCCTGCACTGCCAGAGGTACCAGCTTCAATGCTGCGGTAATTCCTGGGTAATTAGCTTTGTGTTTTTCCACCACCAGTGAATAACGTATCATGAGATCATCATCAGCCTCTTGGCGTGAAGATAATTATCCTTCAGTAACTTTAAAGATAATTATAATCCATAAGGAGAAGTTGTTTTCAGGGCCCATGGACAGTTCAGCATGGGCTGCAGTAGGGATGGCGATGCTCAGAGATCTGCTGCTGCTCCTGTTAACATCCAGTACAGGACTTCCCCATAAGCCACAGATGAAGGTGCTGCCCTCCCACCCATGCAGGCAGGGTGGCTGCTCAGGCCCAGGGCCAGGGCTGATGCTGTTGTCTCCCTCTGCTCACCAGGAGCCACGCACCCTCATTTAGAGCTGCAGAAGATGCTGCTGCAGCTGCTGGGGGGAACATCAGCCTTCAGCAGGCAGCGCTGACATTTAGCATCAGATTCCCCCTCCCATTTCTCTGTGCGAATTTCTTCGGATGCCTTTCAAAGTGAGAAATAAATGGTGTATTAGAGAGGAGAGAGAGACGAGCATTATTAGCTGTTTATGGCAGAAATTAAGACTGTTCATTAGTAACCACGGCACTGGCGGTGTCGGTCTGCTGACGCCAGGCAGCACTACTGGCAGCCCCACATGCCCCAGGGTGTGCTCCCCTCACCTCCCTCTGCCTGGCACCTGCTCACATCTTCCTGCCCTTCTGCAGAGGCACCTGAGGGACTGTGAGGAAATGTCACTGCTCTGACTGAAGCAGCAAGCCGGCTCTGCTTCCCAAATCTGAGTCACTCCACGTGTGCTCAGCATCACTGCAGCAGCTCAGGGTGGCTCGGTGTGCTCAGCCCCGCCGGGATGTGACCCTGTGTCCCCACGCCAGGTTAGGACAGCCCTACTGATGGCACGTGGGGCCACGAGAGGAAGGGGCCAGCAGGACTTCAAAGACTCTGTATCTCCTCACACAGCTGCCATAAAAAACAATCCAGGTTTCCGCTCCCGAGTCCCAAGCTGCCCTCACAAGGGACATCTCTCAGGGCAAACGGATAAATCTTTCATCTCTTCGGTCTGGGTTTTATTAAATGCCTCGCACGTACATGTAAAATACAGAATGCTGATAAATACTGGCTAGTCACAGGGAGAGACAGATAGAGATTAACTCTCTGTATTAACCAACAGTCTACTCCTTCCATTGAGATAGCAAATGCTGAGATGTGCAGACACCAAAGGGCTCTGCCTCCCCTGGCTGCGCCCGCAGTGGCTCTGGGGACAGGACACACACCCTGGTGGCATCCAGGCACAGGGCCAGGCTTGGCTATGCTGCAGGGCTGGGTTAGGGAGGATGGAGGCTGAAGGACTTTGTGTCACCTGGCCTGCAGGACCCTAACAAGGGATGCTTCAGGAAGAGCCCAGCTTCCCACCACCTCAGTAAACCTGTATGGATGTCACTGGGCACATAGTAGGGCTTTGGCTGTATGTAGTAATGAATGCAGTCCCGGCACACAAAACCAAAGCTGCTCGGGATCTGGCTGTTTGCACCCCTCTGGGCCAGACGCCAGTGGTCACTGCAAGACAACAAAGCAGTCACCCCAAGAGCTGGAATAAATGAAAATAGGAGCAAGAAGCCCAAGACTGAACTTGAAATGCCCTTTGGGATAGCCAGGCGCTTGGGGCTTTCCTAATCAGTAACCGATCCGTTCCCTTAACCTCTGCAGTTGCAACAAACACTTCTAAACAGACAGATTTTCCATTAAGCCAGGAAGAAATGGCAAGCAGCCTTAATGAATGTCAAAGTTAATACCACGTTTGTTATAGACTGAGACTGCAATGTGATGGTTTTATAAACCCATTCCTTCATTACCGTTATCAATATTATCCTTGGTTGATTCCCGTCTGCCAGCCAGCTCCATATCCCGGCAGTCAGCCTTCGTCTGTGGCTCCTTTACATGGGAGCTGGCTGCTGGGGGATCTGCAAGCCATCCTGTACCGGTGCATTTGGAAAACAGTAA